TCTTTCCCTTCATCTTCAACTTCAACTGCTTTATAATTCTCATAAAAGAATTGATAATTTTTCAAAGTATCATTTAAGGATTGTTGCCAGATATAAACATATCTGTTCTAGCTACATACATGCTTTGTCTATTATCAATTCTCAATCATGCATTAATTATTGATTGATTTTTCTTATATTAAAAGAAATAGGCTTAATTAGCAGCGTCCGAAGCCAAATTAGAAATGAAGAAAAATATAGGAATCATTGTTCCTTAATCCTAAATCTACTGTCACATTGTTGGGCACTGTGAACAACAAAGTCAACTTTCTTATTGATAATGTATTGTAAATTCCAAATATTTATTATGATATTAAATGATCAATAAATATTCCATTATGTTGGTTTCTGAACTATTTAATTTAAAACAGGTCTCTAAATTATTATTTTTAATTGGGTACAGTACTTGATAAATATTTTTAATATATTTAAGTACATAAATGATCCATTTTTGTCGGTTTCAAGCCACTAAAACTAATCCCACACATTATTTTTTTTTTAATATAATGATCAAATTAAAAAAAAAATAATTTTAAAAAGTATTTAAAAATTTTCAGATATTTCAAGAACCTACTTACTAATTTAAATTTTTGATAGTTTACATAAGAAAAAGTTGAAGGATTCCTTATATCAATATAGATAAAAATATTAATAAATTGTTCATACAAGTGATAATAAATTCGATTTCATTAAGTAAAATCAAATTTAAAAGTTATTAGTCAAGTAAAATTAACCATCAATAAAATTGATGAATCTTTCATACTAATATTATAATTACAAAAATTAGACAAAAAATACTTAAGGCTCTGCCATCACATCACCCTTGAAAACATTATAATTGAATCAAACAATAATGGAAAGTGCTGGAAAGTCTTATTTTTTTTTTTAAATATGTTTGATTGACTTATTGATAGATAAGTGTTTCAACTATTTTAAATATTTGTATGACAAAAAAAAAATAAAAAAATAAAAGAAAATAACAAGTGGATAATATTTTTCATTTTTGTTTTGGGTTACACAATATTTTTGGGTTGATTTATTTATTTACGTTTCTGAGTTGCGGTTGAAACGTAAGAAGCATAGGGTGGCAGGATTAACGGCTTTTGGACGCGAAAAGACTCGAGACAACGGGACATGGTAAAGTTACCGTGCGGTTCCGTGTAAGGGGGTGAAAGTTCGAGTAGAAAGTCGCCACGTGGAAAAAGTGAGCGCAATGATTGGTTGGTTTTGGAGGAATGTGAGCGTCCACGTGGACCACATCCAGCTGCATTGAGGCTGGTAACTGATGGACCCCTCATACCAAGCCGCCGGAGTGGGCCGGGCCTGGGCCCACTGCCCAAAAGTTACATATTCCCTCACCATATGACTTTTTTCTGTTTTTTTGTATTCGATCGAATTTGAACAGAGCAAGATTGTAAGATACGATAAAAAAAAAAAAAATATTATCCAAGTTTCATGTGATTGCATTAGAATATATAATAATTTAAATTTAATAATAAAAATAAATAATACTGAAACATTTTCCGAGAATATTAGGAAATTAAAATCTGTAAATATGAGGAAAATTGTAATGTGAAAATGACTGATACAGTGATACCTATAATTTTAGAGATTAAAACTGAGAGGAATTTATTTAATATGATTCTTAATCAATATGTAAATGAAGAAAATGAGAAATGAAAAAGAATAATTATTGGGAGAATTTGGAAAACGATGGAGCTAGTCAAGAGATATTGATTTTGTTGTTGTCTTGTTGACAGGTAGACTTAGACAATGTGATTTGAAGATATTTTTTTTAATGTGACACGACACGTATATGTGTTTGTTTCATTTAAAAAATTTAATGAGATTAAACTTTACAAGTACGTAAATTTGTAACACGGAATGGATCTGATTTTGTGAAAGAAAAAGTTTTACATCAACCACATAAATTAAGATATATATATAAGATTAAATCCAGTAAAAAAAAGAAGAAAGATATATAATACAACACTTAAATATGATATTTTTATCCATAAAAAATAAATTTACTTTTAAAAAAATTTACAACAACTTACATACCCTACTCAATTAACTGAAATAAACTCCTCCAATATATATGGTACATTAACACTATAGTTATAATTAGTTTTTTTTTTAATTTTGCTAATTTATAATAATTAGTATTTTAGTTGATAAAATATAAAAAATAAATATTTATTCTAATATATAAATTATATTATAACTATTTAATTAAAATTCATAATAAATAATTTTTAATATGTAAATTATATTTTAAATTTATGATAAATAACTTATATTGTTAATCTTTGTCATTGATGA